TGTGTGTGTGTGTGTGTGTGTGTGTGTGTGTGTGTGTGTGTGTGTAATGACCCGCCAAAACACAGACTGAGAACACTGCTGATTTGTGGGATTTGCCGCTGGAATGTATGCCTTGCTGAGATTCCCGCATTCTGCTGTGATTTCTAAGTCTGTGTGTGTGTGTGCCTGCTGGTCTGCGTGCCTGTCTGAGTGCTTGTCGTCCTGAGTGCGTGTGTGACCCGCAAGGGTACTTATTGGTTGGGAGGCCCCACAGGGCCGGTACTTACCTGTGGCCGTGACTTTGAGGGTTGCAGGGGGGGTAGGCCTGCGGCACGTACAGCAGCGGGAAAAACACTCAAGTAGCAGGTAGACGGTACCACTCAAGTAGTGGTAGAAGTGTCGGGTACTCGAGRCCGAGCAGAAGAAGACAAAAAGTTGGCATTTTTAGAGGCCCAGTAGCGGTAGGCTAGAGGTAGGCCGGTACCAGTCCAAGTAGCCTGAGTCTAGGGCCTGTACGGACAATATCAGAGCCTGCAATGATGTTTCCCTCCGAAAGGGAGGAGGTACCAGTTGCTGGGAGGCCGTGCGGCCTAGGAAGTCACCGCCCAAGAGGCAAGTAGGCCGCGATATCTTCGGAAGGAGCAAGTAGCTCCTCCTCATTTGCGGTGTGCAAGGATTGGCGACATACCGCTGGAGCCAAGCGCTGGACTTGGAGTGCTGGCTGGAGGAGGAGAGCAGCTGGGCACTCAGCCTGGCTACGGCAAGCAGCCCAGCCTGAGGAGGAGGAAGAAGGGGGGGTGAAGGAGGAGGGTGGCGAGGTACCTGCCTGGCTATGGTGGACACCATCTTCATCACCTTGATAGGCGCTGCATCCGGAAGGGCCCAGTTGGGGTAGTGCCGCACCAAGGAAGCTTGAGGCAGAGTCAGGCATAGCGGCCTGATGAGCAGCAACATCGCTGCTTTGTGTTGTCCTGTGGACAGGAGGGCAGAGCCCTTCGTAGCCCGCCATAGCCTTGGCATGTGAGAGGAGGAAGAAGGGGGAAGCCATGGCTATGGTGTACCGGTTGTTGTGCTGGTAGTAAGAGGGAACTTTGGATATTGATTCTGGTTCATCCACTCATTGTTATTATTATTATTGGGAAGAAGAATAAGATTGGCGAAGTCAAGGAGGAGAAGGAAGGTGGAGAGAGAAGGGGGGCTTGTCATTGGTCTTGCTGGTCTTCTTCTTCGTCTTCTTCTTCTTTCTCTCTTCTTTGGTCTCTAATCTCTTTGCAAGTGCTTTCATTTCTTTCCCAATTGGGTGGCATTGTCTTTCCTTGTGAATTTGCACTTTGGAAATGATCCGGATGGTAACATCTCTATCTATCTATCTATCTATCTATCTCTAGGTCTATAGCTCATGCAACATCTCTCTCTCTCTCTCTCT